TGCCTCTGCTGTGAAGATGTTCTGAAGCTGCTGCCACCTGGTGTGGGATGAACTTGTCTTCTGCAGAGTTCTTCCTGGTGCACACAGTCACTTCATGTTTATCCCGTTTCTCAACTTCTCTTTTGCACAGATTATGCTCTGACGCCACGTAAAATGGCTTCTAGTGAATCACCTGCATTCTCCACCCCCCTACCAGAGAAAACAGGTTTGCTCTATATTCACTCAGTTGTGGAGTCTATGCTGCGATGCATGTTTCCTTGGTGGGCTGGTGACTGCAGGGAAACTGAGCAACACTGAGAACTGCCAGCCAATGGACAGGCTGCTGCTGCACAGGAGCTCTCAGCTGAGAATAGCACATAGAAATAACACTGTGAATCAAAGGGACGATTGTGAGTCAAAGAAATTAGAGCTAGGAAAGTGCTCAAATAATAAATGTGACCAGAAAAGGGAGAGTGGAGTAAAAATAAAGTGAACAAAAAAACTGTAAAGTCTGGAGCAAACCAAACGAGCTCACCTGAGCTGACCCCATTCTCCTACAGACCTTGGAGGAACTGCCTTGAGGGACCTCCATGCCACTAACCTTAAAAGGAAGCCAGTCATAGTTGCTCACAGTGTTTCTCCACAGATTAACTAGGAGGTAGGTAAGCGCGCAGTCCCAGAGCCAGACAGATCCCATGCCTGCAAACTGATAGCCACAGGCAAGCTGGGTGTTGAGATAAGGGGGTGGGGACTGTGCTACATTTGCTTGGGCAGTTTCTCTCTCTTTCTCTTTCTCTCTCTTCTTCTCTTCCTCCATCTTTCTCCCTACTTCCCTCCATCTCCCCCCCTCCCTCTCCTCTCTGTCTCTCTATCTATCTCTCTCATCTGGTTTTATGGATGGAAAAACACAATTTCACAAAACCCAGTTCTTCTATGGGTGGGACTTAGGGAAGGCACTCCACATTTAAAATACAGCCTGAGAAAGACTCAGCATGGCTTCAGGATCATAAAGGAGTGGGAATCACTGAGAAGTCTCCACTGAGATGAAAGGAAGCAATGGGCTTCAAAAGCCAAGGGAGGAAACTTAGGCCAAGTGCTTAGAACTAATCACTGGGCTCATGGGTCTTAAGAGACTTCAGCATAAAGCCAAAATGATGATGTCAACTGGAAGACCCATAGAGCCTATGTAGACATGTATTCCATAAATGACAGCTGGGTAGGGCACAGGGCACTATCCATTTCCATGCATTAGTTAAGAGAGTCTAACAGCCCAGAGACATAAAAATTATAATTCTTATTTTCTCTGGGAAAAAAAAAACTGTAAAATACAAAGAAAATGCTTAGCTTACTCCAGAATACATATAAGTGGTAGGAAAACATTGCTTGAATTGAAAGCCTACATGCTCAGCCCCAAAGAAAGAAAAGGCAGGCTTTATTGGACCTTTATTTTTTGGATATATTTTTCTATTCTCCAGAACTCTTAGTCCTGGAGATTGGCAAAATATATGCAAATTCTTGGCTGTGTAATACCCTGACAGATGAGAGCAGGAGACTTCAGCTGTGAGTTCTTCGTGGGGTGAAAGAACAGCAGAGAAAAAACAAAACAAACAAAAAAACCCTGTTGTGTGGACTGGTAAGGGAAGACTGATTCCATTGGGACTTTAAGAAAACTTCTGGAAACTTTCACAGATAGGAAACGCCTGATGGGACCCTGCCAGACACTCAAATGGGATACAGTGAGTGTTTGGATTTAGACACTGGCCATGACGTAAATCTAGAAGATTGATGGCCGCGTGAGCCCTCTCTAGGCTGGACTAGACTCTGTATGGGGTGTTGTCTGGGAGTCCCCATTTTCACATGGTCCCACACCTGCGTCCTATAGATGTCCTTAGGTGTCCTCCAGTATCTCTTCACGTTCTTCCTCTCAGTTAATGAGCTGGTTTTTCACCCATGAATATTTATTGAGCAGTAAAAGTCCACACTAAAATTACTAGTGATAAGAATGACACGTTTCCTAATACATTGTGTAAGTTACTTTTCTGTGGTTAAAACAAAGCACTACGACCAAAATCCTCTTTACTTCCTCCAGCTAGATTGGCCCTCCCCATAGCCTCATCAAGAGTTCTACCCTGAGAACCAAGAGTTCAAACACTCATTCAAACCAACACAAACACTGTAGTGTTGAAAGGTGGCTTTACTCCCCCAAAAATGTTTACAAAAAAGAAATCCTTTGGCACCGGATAACTAATAGGTGTGCTCTTCCCTAGGGAAGTCCATCCTTTCCCTTCCCAGCATTCTTCAGTCACCTATAATTCTCTGAAAGCAAACACGCCGGTAGCATTATACAAATGGAACAAGTTGTATTTAGGAATACGTATGTACACACATACACGTGTGCAGGCCCTAAATTTAAGGGCAGTGGGGGAAGGTCCATGGGAAGTTTGGGAGGGGGGAAAGGGAAGGGGAAATGTAATTAAATTGGAATCTAAAAAAGATAAGAGGAAATCCTCAAATTCCAAATGTGTTTTTGTAAAGGCATATCCTACTTACCCTGACTTACTTTGAAATTTTGATTTTCCAGGTATGGAACAACTTGAACACATTTTTCCTGCGCCAGGTATGTCGGCGTATGTTAATGAAATGACAACTATTCCAATTTTAAATTGTAGGGTTTTCATTTCAAATATGTAATAATTGACACAGGTCCATCTAAAAAGAGAATATACGTCACTAACTTCAGTGACAAAAGCAAATATTCCTGGTTTTGAAGGAAGAATTTTTTTTAACTTTGAAAGTAGAAATAAGTAATTTGATCTTTTTTTCCCTAAGTTACATTTCTGTAAATTTTTTAATCAACTATGGACATTTGAGAAAAAGTCTCTTCATTTATTTAAAAAAAAATGCTGAGTGTTTCTCTTCCCACTAATTGGGGTAAATTGGCATCATATCAAGAATAAAGAGAGCATTCCTGTCTCAGTCCTGACCCACCTTCAGCCGTACTCCTACAACCTCCATTATAACTAGCATCATGCCCGCTGGCATAACTCACCGTGAGCTATTTCATTACCCTGCAATTCTCAACTCTGCCTTACAATTTGGCCAGTGTCCACATTTCATGTGGGAGAAAAAAGGTGGAACTTCACTGCAGTCTCACAAATTACATCTGATTGGTGGTGAAGGCTGTGTAAGAGAAGTGGGCAGGAACGCCACACCTTTCAGTGTTCCTTTTGCTTTTGAAGTCAGTCATCTGTCTTTGAGACATGCATGTGCCATTTTGTCTGCATGGGTAGCCCCCACTTCCGTTTACTTCGCTGATCTGCACTATAAATCCTCTGTAAAATGGGAAGTCCCTCTAAATTACTTGTTGCAAACTGCTTCATTCCCAGCATGCTAAAGTTCACAAAAAGTATTTGTCATTCTATCACTGAGTGCGCAGGAAGTGAGCTGCAACAAGTCAAGAGCTCAGAGCACATGGCCTGGAGTACAGTTTTAACTCCGCTTTTAACGGTTGCTGACTGTGCACAGCCTCATTAGGCTTTACTTACTCCTTTGTAAACTGGGCTACTTCTCTTCCAAACCTGTGATCCTACGATCCATTTCGTACCCTTTGATACAGTGAAACGTTGTTTCCTCTCATAATGTTCAAATCAACAAAGAGCTATGGATTCCCCTTGAACTCATGTCTGCTAGTGTGCCTGCAAGGAACACTGAACTTGGCAGCAGAACTCTGGGGTCATGATCAGATGTCAACTCCTTGTGTGACTCAGAAACACAAGGTTCCAGATGCCCACTGAGTCACTGTCAAAATTTAAACTCTTTAAAGATTGAATGTGTCTAAAATTATGAAGTGTTAATTCATTTTCTATAAACACACAAGGTTATGTTCTCCTGTTTGGTTTTTCAAATGACACGGTTCATCGTGCACTCTTTTCTTTTTTCCCCTACAGTGACAATAATCATCATTTTGGGGGCGATAGCTGGTATTGTTACAACTATCCTTCTCATTTATTACCTCATCAGCCGAATAACAAAGGTAAGAGTCGCGTGTTCCATTTTGTCTTGTTTCAGTGTGAACAAGCGTGTGGCACTCTCCTGAGTATATAATTGAACACAAAGAGGAAGAAAATTTCATAAACCTCCCTCCTTTTAAACTGGACACATAAAGACATGGGGTCCTCACATGAACTGCTCTTGCACTTGCCAAGTTTAAGATGACTCATGCATATAATTGATTCACTAGGCTGCCCCTCCAATGAAAGTTTCTACAAAGTTCTTGCCTAATATGACTTAGTAAATTCTGATGGCTATAGATGATGGGCTAGTCAAATTTCCACTTTAGTTTGAGTATAAAATATTTAAGACAATATGTCATACTTACATACATTTAAAACTTCTACTTATTTCCTTTTTAAGATTTATATTGTAATTGTGTGCACGTGTGTGTGTGTGTGTGTGTGTGTGTGTGTGTTTGCGTGTGTGTGCACCGTGTTTATGCACTTGCCTCCAGAGGCCAGAAGTCATTAGATCTCCTGGAACTCATCGTATGGGTGCTGGCAAATGTCCCTGGGTCCTCTGCAAAAGCAACAACTTCTCCGAACCACCGAGCAGTCTTTCCAGCCCTTGTTTCTATTCCTACTGTTTCTGAAATGAATTGTTCAAAACTCACACATGATTTTTCGCCATGTGAATTTTTAACCATTAAAGTTATTTTTAAAATGAGTATTACAAGATTATACTTGCAGGGATTGTTTCTATAGTGTGTTAAATGTATATGACACAGCCTTCTGAAGCATATGAATTCTTACCTAAGACATTTAAGGCACCTGCGTGTGCACTCAGGATGCTGCCCCTGGATCGGTAATGCCCCAGGTCTTCCACCCTGAGCACGTACTCACAGAACATTGACAGTCGGACAGCTAGCATCCTCTATTTTTAATCTCTCTCAGATTGCTCCACGATAAGCATGATCTGTCTGTATTATTCTGATGTAGTTAGAGAGGTTGCCACACTGTGGTAGCATGGCCGTCACACTAAAAATGACAGGAATTCTAGACCTGTTTTGGCTTTTGGGTTTTCTTTTGTTTTTTTGGCTTTGATCTCAGCTACTTCCAATTGTCAATACCCATAATGACCCAACTCATTGTTAAGTAAAAATGTGTCAGTTATACATTTCATTACCTATTAATGATTCGTATGTATATTAATTTATGGGTGCTTGCTTGGCCTATAAAATATCCTAGGTATTTTATGACTCCTTTGTCTGAAGTCTATACTTTGTAAAAAAAAAAAAAAAAAAGTCACTTTTGTGAAAATGAAATTCTCTCATAGATGATATTCAAACCCTGAAATATTTAGTTGGCAAAATTCATAGAATATTCTCTTATACAAAAGAATTTGGAACTGGTCAACATGATCCAGAAATCATTCTTTATTCATTTTTGTATTTCAATTTTCACTATTAGAGCAGAGACTATGGAAGAGTCAATCTACAGGATAGTATGGCCTATGTTGAGTGAAAATACTATTTAGAAATGCAGATGTAAATCTAAATCAATGAGCTGGGCATGGTAGCGCATGTCATTAATCCCAACACTCAAGAGGCAGACGTAGGTGGCTCTCTAAGTTCCAGGCCAGCCTGGTCTGTGGAGACAGTTCTAGGACAGCCAGGGCTACTGACTGACAACAAATACAAAACAGAACTTAAATCAGTGTTCATATTTATCTACAAAATAAGGGATTTCTCCAATATAAGCTGACTACATAAGACTTTTAAAAAATATTTTATTTGAAACATTTTGATTTTCAGGGTATCTTCAAATTAGAAAATGGTGATGATAAGTTTTGTGTGTTTGTTTGTTTATTCTAGAAACGTTCAGTTGACATCCAGCCTTCTGAGCACGAAGACAATGGCGTGCCTTTAAGTTCGATTGAACAGGTTGGTGCTGATGTCTATACTGTCTGTTGTACGAACAGAACAGAAATGAATCAGTGAATACATCTTTCTCTGTCATGGGGAAGAAAAGTAACTGAATTTACAGCCTGATCTCCCTTTTTTTTGTTGTTGTTTTTTTAATGTGAGAATTGCTTATGGCTTAAAGAGAGTCTCTCTTGGGTTAAGAGTATGTTTGTTTGGTTTGGGTTTTTTGTTGTTGTTGTTGTTTTGTTTTTTTGTTTTAAGTAAAACAAATTCTGTAAGTAGAAAAGAAAAAAAATTATTTAGTGTACTTCTTAGTTGCCAGCGTTCAAAGCAATACGTGTAGGAGACCCAACAGTGGTTAGGATATGGCGTTTCCGCTGTGGAGACCGAGAGCTCCCACACTCATGCCCCACCCGTTAGCTGTAAAACCTTGAGAAGGCTGCCTTTCTTTTCCTAGCACGTAGAAGGTGAGGAAAGAAGGTTAAGAACTGGAGGATAGCCTGGGCTACCTACACAGAGTACGCATGCCTGTTAGCTGTCATCAGCACCTTAGACTTCATTCCTAAATAACCTCTTTGCACCCCTTTCACTTCCATGTGCAGGTGTTAAGTTGGGGAACACATAGAAGAGTGTTTGTTCAGAAGGATAGCTCCCCAGGACCATTGTTTGTTTGAGAAAATTTATTATCACCCATAAATGTGGGAAACAAGCCACCTGTGGTGTGGAACACCCCTAATCCCAACACTGGGGAATCAATGACAGGTGAATCTCTCTAAGTTCAAGGCCAGCCTACTCCACATAGATTCCAGGACAGCCAGTTTACGTAGAGAGATCCTGTCTCAAAGAGAAAAAAAAATTGGGAGTTTTTTACATCTTAAAAAGAAAGTTCCGGGCTGGGGGGTAGTGGTGGCGCATGCCTTCAATCCCAGCACTCAGGAGTCAAAGGCAGTGATTTCTCTGTGAGTTCTGAGACCACCCTGGTCTACAGAGTGAGTTCCAGGACAGCCAGGGCTACACAGAGAAACCCTGTCTTGAAAAACTAAAAGAAAAGAAAGAGCCAGTATTGCCTTTGTAGGGAAAAATGTAGAATTTAACAACACTGGAGCTTCTAAACTAATCAGAAAACAATCCAGAAGATCTGAGGCCTGAATGGTGCCTCTACACACCCAGCCAATATAATTTATTTTCTTCACTATGGCCTTGGTATCACTCCATTAATGCAGTTCTCAGGAAACTTTGCCTGAAGCATCAACCTAAGCAGTGTGTGTTGGGAAAAAAGTCAACCAAGAACAGTAAGTTAGAATGTTCAAAATCAATTGAAGTTTTATCCATAATCATCAAAATTCATAATGAGTGAAACAAATCTTAGCCTCATTGTTTTCCTATATTTGTGTGGTTCAATTACTCAGAGTATGTTTGTAACTGAGTGAATGAGTTACAGAGTTCAAATGCATTCCATAAGAGATGTGAGAAAACACAAAAAGCAGTTGCCAACACCAAAGGCCTGAGAGGCCAGATGGCTCTTGTGGTCTAGGTAAGAACCAGGGATCAGAAGACAGCAGGGCTGAGAATGCTGGGACTTGTGGGTACCTGGCCGTGACTTGGGCTTGGTGGGAGATTAGACTGAGTGAACATGAGTCAGCTGCCACCGTCGCTTCCTCATGTGACGTGACGCTTCCTGCCCACGGTTCCTGGGAAGTGTTACTGGGGTAAACATCCTTTTTGTCCGCTCTCTGAGACACGACCTGAGTTCAGCCTTCCGATCTAGAAGGGGACGCTGTAGAGTAGTCAGCGAGGCTGGCTGGGTGTCAGGGAGGAACGCGGCAGTCGGCTTCGGGGCTTCTTCATAAAGGTGGAAACGTTATTTCTGAGCAATGCCTCGCAGACTTACCTGCCTACAATGGGAGCATGTGTGTGTGAATCAGTTCACTTTGCTTCTGCCTTGGCCCGGGCCTGCCTCTACCCTCCTTTTGTGAGTTTCTCGTCTCCGGAGAAAGGAGGAGCAGAAGAATTACATTTGTTTCTCACCTAAGATTTCTAAAATAGATTTTCAAAAGAAAAAAAATTGTGCCTTTCTAAAACAGACAAATAAAAACCCTCAAACAGAGCTAAATAAAGGATATCTTATATAACATAAACAATTATAATAATAATATAAACAATTCTGTTTAAAGATTACTCAAAGAATGCAGAAGCCTGGTATTTGTGTGGCGTGATGCTTTTGTGCCGTTTTAAATGTAACCGGGTCTTATCTGACTGCTTTATCTTCCCTCCCACACTCTTCCACAGAGCAACAGTCAAGAACAATACGCCAAAGTCTGAACCGCCTCAAAGAAAACACAAGACTTCGGTCAGTGGAAGAAGTAACATGAAGAGTGGACATTTCAGTCAATTGTGTACCTTCCTAAGCTTACGCCATCATAAAAAAGAAAATGTCAACATCTGAGCTTCAGTGATTCACAATTTGGGGGGTTGGAAACCTCTGTTCATTAATAACCAAAGATGAAAACAAAGTTTTCTTATATGCCTGATTTTGCTGGTAAAAAAATTTTGTAACTACTTGACTAGAAATTTTGCTCCAAAATTTCAATTGAGTTCATGTGCTGTCTGTCCACCAAGACTGATTTATTAAATTCTGTCATAATTTATTCATGATGTTATCATTGAAAGATTTATACTATCTCCATGAAATCCAATTTTCCTTATTATTCTAACTCCTGAAGCCATTTTCATTGTTTTAGATAAATTTAAAGGCCAGCAAGTCGCGCCGCGCCCTTCCTCGCCAGGCAGGCAGCACACCCCGTTCAGGACACTTTACCCACACTGGCAACACTCACACTCAGAAACCCCACAAACATAAATGTGTGTGAAGACACAGCCACTGTTTAATGTGTAAGTCAAGACGAAAAATACTTCCTATTTCAAACCCTGAGTTGCTTTTCAGGTAGTTCAGAATAATTTGTCTGACGGTGTTACATTAACTCCTTCAGAGCACTGACTAATGTGTCATGTGGCAAAGAGATATTTATAGAACCACCCAGAGTACCCTGAGGAAGAAAATAAGTAAGGGCCTTCCTTTGCCGTGGAAAGTAGCTATGGCACTGCGTGCAAGTGTGAGGCTCAGGGGAAGGCTGCAGTGAGCAACTCTGATTTTCAGCAAACTCCTTGAATCCATCCAGTGAAAGCTTCCCTTATTAACAAAACTTTGGAAAATGAATTATCAAAACGAACTTTCTAGATAGAAGTCACTAAGGGGCTTTGTGACTAGACTTGACTCCACTGCTGTCATCCTTTATAGCAAACTTTAAAATAATCAGTTTTTTAGCAACGACATGAAGTTGGGAGGTGGTGGGGAGGTAAGGGTGGATCTGGGAGTGGCAAGGGAATGAGTAAGAGAGGAATATGTTCAAAATACAGTGTATGAAATTCTTAAGAATTAATAAAAAATATTTTTAAGACTCAATATTAAAGCAAAACCTGTGACTGTCTATTTCCAAATTGACAAGAGTCCACATGGCTTTGCCTTGCTTAATGTTAACTAAGTAAATAACTCTATGTACATATTTGGACCTGGAAACTTAAATCTATTTTTAATATTTTTTAAATTTACTTGTATGTTCAGAGAATGTTTTATGCTTGTCAACTATTTAAAATAAAGAATGGAAGTAAGAAAGGAATATTTGTTGATATGTTATTTAAAGTAGGTTTAATATCATTAAGTTAACTTAATTCAATGATGGCTCAAGTGCCAAGGTAATTTTAACTGTACTTATTTCAATAAATACAAAATATTAGACTAAGAGAGGGCATGAGTCTAACCTTATCTCTATAGTAATTTACTGGTCAAAGACCGTAAGAGATTAGAGTAATGTTGCTGACTCAGCCAGGGCTCCAGAATACAGAGGATAATTAGCGTACACATTGCTTTCACCCCCTTGAACTGTTTTGGCAGTTTCTCTGCACTTCTCTATTGGCCTTCATATTGAAAGTGTTTGTAGGAAGATGTGACCTTTACCCTCTTTGTATTTTGTTATAGTTAAATCAGGAAAAAAATTGTAAGAAAGAAATCTTTCCTGTAGAGCCAGTGTGACCCCAGGCATGACTCTAATTAAAGTTTTTAAAATTAGGGTTTGAGGTGAGCCAGGGTGGTGATGCTAGTTATTCACTGCTGGGTGTTTCCCTACATGGCCTTCTTGCATATTTCAAGTATTCACCCACCAAATAGCTATTTTCACAAGACAACCCTGACATAGATGCTATTCCAATGAAAAAAGGACAGGTCCCGCTCTCCAGCATGAGTGAGCCCGTGTCAGGGCAGGGCTGACATGCTCGCATACCCAGCTCTGCTCCACCAGGAAGGCGAGCACAGGCGGCTACAAACTCACTCTCAGCTTCTAGAGCATGTCTTCTGCTCCCAGTCCAAAGAACGACCGCTCAAGGGCAGAACATTCAGAGAAAGGCTCCAAACACACTGATTACTCCGAGGATATTCCAGACCGTTCTGGAGTGTTCCAAGGGTCAGAGGTCTCTGAAGGATTCCAGGAGACCCACAGCATCCCCAAAGGAAAGGCAAACCTAAAGAGTCAGCCTTCCTCTGCGTAGCACCCTGCCCTCCCTCTCATACACCAACATGCTCTGGCTTGCCCACGGGTGGCCATGCTTTGTCTCGTCTGTCCTAAAGTAGAGGCATAACAGACCCTGGCCACATGCTGCCGCCCCGAGATTGACAGTACGATGACTATTGGAAATCTCTTCTGCTCAGCCTCAGCCTTTGCAAAAATTTATACCATAACCTCCAACTGACTGATCTCCGAGTGACGGTTTTGGATGTGTACAAATACAAAATATTTTTTAAAACCTTGGGACATATGACATCATAATACCACCTGCAAGTTCTAAAAATAAGTAAACATACAATAATATGTGAAAGATGACAACGAGTTATTCCATGAGCTTGATGTGCGTGTGTTGGGGACCTGCTTCAGAGCTAAATTTTAACCTTAGGTTGTGAGATTACAGTCAATGTTGGTCTTTTCTTTTCCTTTTTTTAAAATTTATTTTTATTTTTATTAATTACAGTTTATGCACTTTGTATCCCCCCTGTAGCTCCCTCCTTCCTCCCCTCCCAATCCCACCCTCCCTCTCTCTTCCCCACCAATGTCCCTCCCCCAGTCCACTGATAAGAGAGGTCCTCCTCCCTTTCCCTCTGATCCTAGTCTATCAGGTCTCATCAGAAGTGGCTGTATTGTCTTGCTCTGTGGCCTGGTAAGGCTGATCCCCCCTCAGGGGAGGTGATCAAAGAGCAAGCCAATCAGTTCCTCTCAGAGATAGTCCCTGTTCCCATTACTATGGAACCCACTTGGACACTAAACTGCCATGGGCTTCATCTGTGCAGGGGTTCCAGGCCATCTCCATGAGTGGTCCTTGGCTGGAGTATCAGTCTCAGAAAAGACCCTTGTGCCCAGACTTTTTGGATCTGTTGCTCTCCTTGTGGAGTTCCTGTCCTCTCCAGGTCTTACTATCTCCCATTTCTTTCATAAGATTCCCTGTACTCTGTCCAAAGTTTGGCTATGAATGGCAGAGAAACACTTAAAGAAATGCTTAACGACCATCCTTAGTCACGACGCTGAGATTTCACCTTACACCCATCAGAATAGCCAAGATCAAAAACTCAAGTGACAACTCATGCAGGAGAGGATGTGGAGAAAGGGTAACCCTCCTCCAATGCTGGTGGGAATGTAAACTGGTACAACCACTCTAGAAATCAATCTGGCGCTATCTCAGACAACTAGGAATAGCGCTACCTCAAGATCCAGCTATACCACTCCTAGGCATATATTCAAAAGACACTCAAGTATACAACAATGACATCTGCTCAGCCATGTTTGTAACGGGTTTATTTGTAATAGCCAGAAGCTGGAAACAGCCTAGATGCCCCTCAGTTGAGGAATGGATACAGAAATTGTGGTACATCTACAGAATGGAATATTACTCAGCAATGAAACACAAAGAAATCATGAAATTTGCAGGTAAATGGTGGGAACTGGAAAAGATCATCCTGAGTGAGGTATCCCAGAAGCAGAAAGACACATAGGGTATATACTCACTCATAAGTGGATATTAGACATACAATATAGAATAATCATACTCAACTCTGTACACCTAAGGAAGCTAATCAAGAAGGAGGACTCTGGCTAAGATGCTCAATCCCCATTCAGAAAGGCAAAGAGGATGGACTTTTTATTTCCTTTTATCCTAGCTTATTAATTTTTTATAATATGTCCAGTTATACTGTCAAAGAGTAAAAGCCATTAAAATTTCAAAGCTGAAAGAAACATGAACAAGATAGTTGCTCAAACATATTTTCCCTGAGCTAGGAAACCAAGATGTGTGCAAATAGCCAGAAATATTCTGAAAAGGAAAAATAATGCATGGAGCTTTTCTATCTAGGAATTACAGTAGAATAAAAGCTATTTATATAAAATATATAAAGTTAGTGTAGGCTAATTGAATATTAATTTAATTATTGTTACTAATTATTAAAATTAGTAATATTAAATGTTAATCAAAATAACAAAGTAAAGAAACAGGATTTAGATAAATGGACTGTTACACAGAGTTCAGTTACAGGCCATTTGAACTTAATAAATAGACAACACAAAAGCAAAGCTTGAAGACAGAAACATGTGATTTGGAAAGACAGAAAGCTAACTGAACATGAGCTCTGGAAGACAGAATGGAGAGTGATGAAGTCAGCAGCGCAGAAGACAGAGTGAGTTTCCAGGATGGGAAGTGGCAGGAAGGAGAAGGAGTAGGGTAGCCAGGCCCTCCTGAACGTGAGGCAACAGCCAGCAGACAGGCTGTTCAGGAAGCAATGACGTTCAGATGTTGGACATGTGTATCATGGAAATAAGGCTGTCGAGAAAGAGGAAGTAACTAGTTAGCTCTCAGTCTGGAACATTTCTGTGCCCCATCAGGTCCCCAAGATAGGCAGAGCTGAGTCAGGGAACACCAACGTGACTAATATGCAAGAACCCAAGAGGAAAATCAGGCAGTGGGCACAGAGATCTGAGAATGTGCTAGTCAGGGGAAAAAACCTACCACGTATGTGTGTAAGACCTTTCTCACATTAGAAGGAACACTGGAAAAATCACCTTTCTCTTGGTCTAAAGCATATGGTTCAGAATGGTGGCATAGAACCATTTGGTACCAAAATGTCATAGCCTTTCCACAAGCTGTGTAACTCTCATGATACGGGATTCTCATGTATCTGTAAGGGCCACAGACATGCATATCTACTTCAGGGAACTGGAACTGGAACTCCTGCTCTCACAAGATGCTTTTCATTTAATGAGACAGCTCTTTTCTCGTTTTCTAGGAGTAACTGTGGAAACCATCAAGCATTTCCAGTAATGAGAGAAGAGAGTAAACTCAGCAAAGGACCGCAAAGGGGTTTTCTTCCTGTAGTTTAAAGTCTTAAAAGCAAGAGCAGAAAGGGCAGGGCACCACAATGGGGTACTGTTTAGTCCCA